CCAGCCATGGGATATTGGGGACCCTCCCCCCCATAGGATACTGGAACCCCCCCTAGGATATCGGGACCCCCACCCCAGGATATCGGGGACCCCCCCCATGGAATATTGCCCCCCCACAGACCAGCAGCCACGAAGAGGATCCCGGCCCCCAGCACCAGGCTGGTGCGGGCGCGTTGCAGGCGGCTGGCGGCCACGCAGAGCCCCCCCAGCAGCAGCAGCACGGCGCTCAGGATGGGGAAGATGCTGGAGGCCCGGACCACCCCTGAGGGCAGCCAATCAGAGCCCGCCGTTAGGGAGGGGGGGGGGCGGGGGGGAGGGGATGTGGGGAGGGGGAGAAGGTTAGATTTGGCCAATGGGAGGTGGGGAAGAGGGTGAGAATCAGAGCTCTGGGTTGGATGGGGTCTGTTGGCTGTGGCCAATGGGAGGTCAGGAAGTGCATGGCCAATCAGAGCTCTGGATCGGATGGGGTCTGTTGGCTGTGGCCAATGGGAGGTCAGGAAGTGCGTGGCCAATCAGAGCTCTGGATCGGATGGGGTCTGTTGGCTGTGGCCAATGGGAGGTCGGGAAGTGGCTGGCCAATCGGAGATCAGGGACTGAGTGGGATCTGTTGGTTATGGCCAATAGCAGTTTGACATACGGCTGGCCAATCAGAGATCAGGATTAGAGCGGGATCTGTTGGTTCTGGTGAATGGGAGCTCAGGAAGTGCCTGGCCAATCAGAGCTCTGGATTGGAGTGAGATCTGTTGGCTCTGGCCAATGGGAGCTCAGGAAGCAGGTGACCAATCAGACTGCATAGAATCCCAAGGGATGCCAGCTTCAGCCAATAGGAGACTGACACACGGCTGCCAATCGGAGCTCAGGTTTTGAGTGGGATCTGTTAGCTCCAGCCAATGGGAGACCTCTAGAGTGGCAACCAATGAGGGCTCAGAAGCAGAATGGGATCCATCATCCTTGGCCAATCAGACCCTTCAGGGCCAGGAACCAATCAGAGACCTGTGTGGATCTCCCAGCCCCCGGCCAATTGGAGAAGAGGGTCTTTGGGGTCAGGAGCCAATCAGAGCACAGAGGCTCAGAGGCCAATCAGGAGGGAGGTTTTCTGAAGTGGGTGAAGGGCAAAGGGAGCGACAGCCAATCAAAGCACAGAATCCCCGAGCCCGTGGACACCATGAGCCAATCAGAGCCAGGCATGCTCTGAGACCGGCAGCCAATCAGCAGGGAGGCTCTCCTGGACAACAGCCAATCAGAAGGCAGATCCCTGATCCGTTACCCGGGGGGGGGTGAGGAGGGTGG